GATTAACAGTTATGGGACTAAGTCTCAAACATTACTAACAAAATACAAAGATTTCTTTATCTGTTTAAAGATTTTTGCAGGTATCACTAAACTCTGGAAGTTTAATCATCTGAACATTATCTTCAAAAGACTTGCTGAAGAAATCCTAAAAGAAAAATCTCAAAGCTCTGATGAAAATTCTCAGGAAGTTTTGCTTATAGAAATATTTATTTCAGGGGGAGATTCTTATCTCTTATTCAATTTTATTTCAAAACCTGAATATTTTTGTCATCATAAAAAAGGTGGAGATTGTTAGAACAAGATTGGTTTTGATCATATCTCAGAGTTTTGATGATAACAATAAAATATATTTTATATAATTGATACTCTGATGAGCATATTTATTTGTTTCAGATAATGTTCTGACTGGAGTATTTTCTTAGATGAAAATCATTTTGACGTGCTGAGCTGAACATAAATGAAGAAGTTATTTAATGAAAGAACTATTTGTTTTAGCGCAAGTTCTGATGCTGACTCTGATAAGAAACTATTTTATGCATCTTCTAAAGCTTAGCAAGTTTCCATGTAAACCATGTTCAGAAGTATTCTGCAAGCAAGCACTGATAAGAAGTTTTGCAAGCATATTCTGAAGCAAGTTGTGAAGCTAGTTCTGATAGAATAAAGAAGCTAACAAGTCTTGTCAAGTTTCAGGAAACATGCTCTGACAAGTGTCGTTTGTTCATTAAATGCAAAGACGGCTACATGCACTCAAGTGTCTACGCTAATTCATTGGAAAATGCAATACTGTAAGCAAACACACGAACATTTATTGCTCCACACTTTTGAAGGCAGCAACAGTCGTTTTCTTCATGCTATAAATAGAAGATCATTTATTGCAAGCCAACAACCCAACTACGTGAAAATATTCAGCTGCTCACAAATTATTTTACAAACACTTTGTGCAAAACTCATCTTATTGAAAAATCACAGTTTGTGATATAGCTTTCTAAGAAGCAATTTGTTTCACTATTTTTAAAGATTTAATTCTTGTATTTGTTCCGTGAGAGACCAAGCTTGGTCAGATTTCTCAAGAAGGCTAGGACTAGTTTGAGTCTCAGTGGTATTAGTCACTTGTAAGTTTACTTGTGCTTTGAATTATTAGTCACAACAATTTGGTTGTGTGATTGTAATATGTTTGATTATAGTGAATTAAGTCCTTGTTAAGAAAGGCGAAATCACCTTGGCGGGTGGACTGGAGTAGTTTGAGTTTAAACGAACCAGGATAAAAATAACTGTGTCTTTCCATTATTGTTGAGCCTTTAAGAAAAAGAAAAATAGAAACTCATTCAACCCCCCCCCCCCCCCCCCTCTAAGTGTTTTCTCACCTTTATATTTATGGTTTTGTTGTATGACCGGATGAAACAGCCACCCCAATGGCAAGCGCGCACGTACTAAGTCACTTCTTACCTAAAGGGCGAGGGTTCGAACCAATGTGAACCCCCTTTTGTATTTTTTTCATATTTTCTGATCCTCTAACGTTTTTTTTTGCAGGCGCTGGGCCCTTTGGGCCTGACATTGTTTTTTTATTCGCTAGCTCACCTCCTTGCTTACTTTTGGTACCCCCTGGCCCATTCATTTTTATTTACTTATTTATTTCATTTTTCTTTTTAAACATATTTTCTAAAAATACCAAAAAAATCATAAAAAATATAAAAATAGTAGATTTATGTTTGATATAATTTAAATATTTTTTCCACATAAAAATTATTTTTATTCATTATACTTTATTTATCTTTACTAATTACCTTGTAAATTAAATTAAAAATAGGTTATTATTTATTTAAATATATTTATTTTAATATAAAAAAGGCTAAAAATATTTCACAACACCATATATTATTTTCAAGACAAAAATACAAAAAGATACTTTTTCTTTAAACTTATTTTCTATTAATCAACTAAATAGAATTATGGTTTTATTCAAAAATCTTTTCTTAATTAATTTCTTTTCTTAATTAATTTAAGTTAATTTAATTTTGATTTAATTATTTTTCTCTAATTAGGTTTAGGTTAAAACCTCTTTCATATAAAAATCCAAACACAAAAATCATTTCTTTCCATTTACATTTGTACTTTATATATTTCTTCAATCATTTGTACATATTCAATTTGATTGTAATAGATTAATTAGGTTTATATTATTGCAATATCCATTCATAAATTGTATACCCCCTCCCACAAATGTTGTAATAGCGTAGTAACTTTAAATTTCGCAATTTATCGCTTTTACATAATATGCTAATAATTAGGTTTTGTATGGAAAGATTAAGACCAACCAAATAGCAAACCCTAATTCAAGACTAAATCAAGCATGAAAACAATACACTTGCACACAAGTACCCCTAGAGTAAAATCCACTTGGTTGCCTTACAAAATGGTCATATTACGCATGTAAAGTATCTTAGCAAAAACAAACAAATACAAGATCATAGTTCCTCGATGACGCTATCTAAATTGCCTTACAAATGATCTTAGTCCCTCAAAAAGAATGCTAAGATACCTTGCAACATTGCTAATCATGGTTATACGATGATCCACGTCCGTCCTGTTAACATCCAAAGATAGGGTTGCTTACCAAATCAATGGTAAGGCAACAAAGTCAAAGGAAAAGAAAATAAACAAGAAAGACATTTGAGTAGGTAGATTGCTCCTAATTACTTGCTCAATTTCAGACAAACATCCTTGTTATTTTCAAAAACAATCACACACATTTTCAAAACATCTTACAAAACATAAAAACATTTTCAAAAGATCAACATCTTTGTATACATTCTTACGAACGAGAATCATTACAAAGATTGCCTAAACAAATGTCTCTTTACAAAATACTTTCAAAAACCACACTAAGCACAATTTCAAACAAAAGCAAGTGATCTAGCAAGTAACTAAGAGCCCATGGAAAACCATGGATGAAAAGGGTGCTAATACCTTCCCTTTTCATAATCTACCCCCCGAACTCAAGAAACAATCTCAAAGGTCTTTCCTGTGCTTTTTCACCTTTCCTTTTGGATAAAAGAAAAGTCGGTGGCGACTCTTGCTAACCGCAACATTTGCGATAAAACGCAAAATCCTCAAGTCAGTTCTCCCACCGTATCACATAAGGGGCCCCTTTTTATAGGCGACCCACATGAAGGGTCATCATCTCATTGGCCCCTTTTGCTTTTTTCTTAAGGGGTGGCACCCAAAAACGCTAGCCACGTGGCTCAACCATCAAACACAAAATCCTTACGCGGGGGGTTGACACTTACGCGGGGAGGTGCTCGGCACTAGAGTGCACAAAGGGGCACATTTCCTTGACTATCTTGAAGACGAGGAAATGCTCGACAAACTAACAGCTCCTAGGAGGCGGATGAACCCTCTCGAGCACAATAACTTGGGAGGGGCTCCTCACCACCAATATGCCCTCTCGAGCAGGCGAATAAACCTTTCTATCTTGATCCTCGTCCGTCCATGGTATTCCCCGACATATTTGTGCTCGCCCCCCGCGGGCAACGATCCGCTCCCTTCGGGGACTTCGACCCTCTATCCCGACCGAGCCTTCGATAACAAGAACTGCACTCAAGTCATTACCCTCTAACTCGAGGACAATAACTTGAGGGGCTCCTGATCTGGACTGGGCCTACGTTTGCCCTACGAAAAGAAGGCCCAAACGACCCAAGTTAGAGATTGTGGGGCACCTCCCCATCTAACCGTTGGGGGACATGGCCCACCAGTTCTCAGCGGACACATCAAACTGCCCATCGGGAATTCCGGGTCCAATCCTATTCTCGCGGAGTGGTTGACCAAGGGGAGTCCACTTGCTGGACTCCATACTCACATAAATCCTGGCAGTTCCCGTTATTGGGCCTCTATGTGGCCCAATGGTGGGGACCTTGGCCCAGCGCTGGGGGCTATAAATACCCTTTCTCATGAGAGGGTGAGGTATTCATTCATTCACACCTACATACTTACTTGCTTGCTCATTCCGTCTCTCACTTTGCCATCAAAGTATCTTGCAGGTACCCCCCATCTCTTTCAAATCCAATTCAAAGTCAGCTGTGACGGTCCAACTCTGATCAGGTACGATCATATATATATATATATATATATATATATATATATATATATATATATATATATATATATATATATATATATATATATATATATATATATATATATATATATATATATATATATATATATATGATCATATTGATTTTGTAATTATCTTCAAAATCTTGGTAAATCCTTGTTCAAACTGATTTTGTTTCGTAAATAAAGTAATTATGGTAGTAATCTCTTTTATTATGAAAGAAAGAGGGAATTTAGGAATGAGAATAGTGAAGAAAGACATTTTTTTTTAATTATGACGACTTTACCTTTCAGTATTTGATTTTCCTTTAGGTATCAAATGATGATACAAAAAATTGCTTTAGAAGTTAGAGAATTGTATTGGAAACACAATAACTTTTTTAATATATGGAGGAAAAGTCTGCAGAGAAAGATGAAAAGTTATGTATTTTTCAATGGATTTTGAATCATTTTGGTTGTTGATATCCGATACTCAAAATGTTGTGAGTGTAAAAATTAATTGTAATATTTAATTAGAATACTTAAAATTGATTTAGATTTATTAAATGTGTTGTTATTAATCATTATTATATTTGTAAATTGTCTATGTTGTCTTTGAAATTAAGTCTCTGATTAAGTTTTTTAAAGGATATGAATATAATTTTGCTAGTATATTACTTTATTATATTAATAATAAACTCTATTATTTATTATATTTAAAAATATTTATAACTAATTCCTATTTATAAAAATAATTATATCAATAATTGACTTTTTTTTCTATTTATAAAAATATTTGTAAGTATAATTTAAGTGCAACAATATAATTTAAGTACAATAAAACTTTTTTAAATAAAAAATACAAAATAATAAAATATAAATTTTCTATAAAATAAATTATTTAATAAAAAAAATTATTTATAAAATCCACTAATCAATTAACTCACAATGATTCACATGATATTTTTATGCACCTTTTATAATTAATAATTTATTAATTAAATAAACAATGTTTTAAATATATTTGTTAATAGTAAAAAAAAAGTTGTACCTAAGAAAAAAAATAGATAATTTAATACTTGTATAATAATTATTGTTAATTCATTTTATAAAGAACACAACCAAAATAAAATCAATACATTTGAAATTTGAAATTATAACATCTTCCTTTTTTTTCTTTTCAATGTATCAAAATCTTTATATCTTATTTAAATGAGCATAATATTTTTACTTTTGAAATTCACAAAATTTAAAGACGACTGAATACATTCAATTGAAATTAAAACAACATTAATCACTATTTAAAAACGTACATTTATAAATAATTATTTTTTCCCATTAAATGAAAATTCTAATTTGAATATCCTAAAATATAATGATGGTTATATTTCAGTATATTCAATGAAAAACAAAAAACAACTCAAAAATTTCCAATCTCCACTATCTCATAACTCAAAGCTTCTCATGAAGTTTAACACCCACTAAATTATCAATATCTAATTCATGTGAAGAGAAAATCCAATAACTGAATACAACTATTGTTTAGTTGTAGTGCTATTATTGCAGCAAGTAAACAAGTTTATCAAATGTCATAAAATAGAGGATTAGATAAACATGAATTGAATAAAATATTTGAAATATAAAATAATATAAAACATAAGGTCACTGAACATATGCACAATGACAAAAAAGAACAGTTTTTTTATAAATATATTGTATTTCAAATACAAATGATAATTAATCTTTTCATAGATACAACTTAAATAAGAAATAACATGAGACAAACAAATATAATGGTTTATACCATTTGGTGAATTCAAAACTTCCGGCCCAAAATTAATTTCGACCATCAATATACTATTACTAATAAAATAATTTGATTACTTCAATCAATTAGAAATCGGCAATATGTTAAAAAGCAAAATATCAATGTTGATCAAAATTTAGATCGGTTTTTTTTAGCATAAAACAACATAAAATATGATATCAAAACATCTATTATACAATAAAAATCTGAACAAAACCTTCAACCATCAACAAAACCTTCAATTTATTTTCCTTTAGTGTTGTCTCAATTTGTGCACCAATCTATGACCAAAACAAAATTTGCACTAATTGAATGATTACGAAACTTGCATAAATTTTATATGATTTGCAGAGATGTTAAAAGCCGACATATTATAAAATTCCAGCGGGGTAACTGGGGTGAGAATAATACTTATATGACAGCCACACCACTAGACAGTTTTGCAATCCTTTTGCTAAGCCTATCCTTTTCATAATCTTGCTCTGTAGCTTGTATAAAATGTAACATAGGAGAGGATATCAATTTTTTTAACAGTATTCCAAAAAAACCAATCAACATAACTCCATGGCAAAACAAAAACTGAATAAACTTAAGTCTTCATTCTACAACCACGCCATAATTAAGAAATTCAATTTTTCCAGTTAACCCAAAAATTTGACTCTTCCTAATCAAATCAAAATAACTCTACAGATTTCTCAATTACAAAAACAGATCCAGAAAAAGAAATAAAAACATATTTCTCAATTCACTATAACTCAAGTACTTAATATAGAGACAACAAAGAAATAACTAATCTGCAAGATTTTGTCCATTCTAACCTACAATCTGAAGAAAAAAAAAATAAGAAAGTGGAATAATCTTACTTTTCTCTTCAAAACTTACCTTTCATCACCACCTGCAAATTTTCAACACATAATTAGACAACTATACAATGAAATCAAGTAGACATAATATTTTGTTTACTAATTTTTTTAAAGTCAAATTGTCACTATTGAAGTGGATAGAAATTTTTTGGATACCTCTAATTAATGATCTTAGGATGATTTGTGAATATTTTCAAGTTTGTCTCTCCACATAACTGCAAAAGCCAATAAATAAAGTTAGGTATGAAACTCTAAAGTTTTAGTTAAGTATCAAAATTGCTTCAGAAATTAATAAATTAAAAACAAAATTATTCGAATACAAAATCACTCTGCTTAAAATTCAACCATATGACCAAGTCAATTATGAAAAACTTAAAATCATATTCAAACCAAACACAAATTAATATCCCGTGTGTTGTACTCCAAAATTTGCCCTCTCATTTCTCAAGGCATTTCTCACAAGGATTCTCAAAATTCCTACTGGGTCAAGGCTGCACAAGTACAATTGAATCATTTTGGGGCTCTCAAGCATCAAATTAAAGAAGAGCAAGTTTGTATAGATTCCTATGTTTCGATTGGGCATTTGACTTCTTTTGAACTAGATTAATTCATATGCTTCGATTGGGCATTTAGTTTCTTTCGAGCAAGCTTAAAATCCCAAGCTTCGATTGAGGCAGTGGCTTTTTATATGCTCTCTTCATGCTAGCTTCGATTGAGCATTGTTTTCCTTTGAAGACAATTTCCCTCGATTCACAAGGCAGGGACCTCCTACATGTAATCCTCGTTTAGGCAATGACCTCCTACATGCAAGCTTCGATTGCACCATTGGCCTCACATGGTTCACAATGCAATGGTTGCCTGCATGCCTGCTTCGATTGAATATTTGATGCCTGCATGCCTGTGTTGATTGGACAAATAATTCTCTCCATGTTTGCTTTAATGCACAAAGTAATGGCTAGCTGCATACAGCCTTCGATTGAGCAATAGCTTCCTTCTTGCATGCTTCAAAGCAAGAGACTCCCACCAGGCCAGCAGGCACAAGGCAAAAGCCTCCCGTTAGCCTCCTTCGATTCAAATAGGAAAAGCCTTTTGCTCATGTCCTTCGATTCAGAAGACAAGTGCCTTTCTCTATGCTTGCCTTCAAATCACAAGGCAATGGACCTTCTTTAGGCTAGCAGGCACAAGGCAATAACCTCCAACAACTTCCTTTCGATTCAGAATCCATTTTCCCCTTGCATGCTTCCTTTGATTCACAAAAGCCAGGATTCCCTTCAGGCCAGTATGTACAAAGCAAAGGCTTCCCCATGGCTAGCATTCACAAGGCAAGGACCTTCTTCAGGCCAGCAGACACAAGGCAATGACCTCCTGCATGCATCTTTTGTTTGGGCATGTAGCCTTTCTTTGAATGCAAGCTTGGTATACATCCTTCTTTTAGGCATGTGGTTCACTTTTATGCAAGCTTTGGGTTACATCATTTGTTTGGCCATATGACCTTTGGAAGGCAAGTTTCGTTTGGACAATGGCTCTTCATGAAAGCTTTCATTTGAGCAAAGGCCTCTTGTATGTTTGCTTGAAGTCATAAAGCAATGGCCTCATGCAGCTCCCCTTCGACTCATAAGCCATTGGTTTTGCATATTTGTCAAACTCATAAGGTATAATTTCCCCCTCATGCTAGCGCCTCCAAAGCAGGGACCTCTTGCATGCACCCTTTTGTTTTGCTATGTGACCTCTGGAAGGCAAGCCTTCGATTGGACAAGAGCCACCTTCACACAAAGCTTCGATTAGAATTTTGGTTCCCTTTGAATTAACATACTTCGAATCCAATCTGAAGCCTTCGAAGCAAGCTTGTTTGAGGAACTTTGAGCAAATATCATAGCCTTATCCTCCAAATCTCACTTGTCAGACTATGTTGCTTCCAAATCTATACATAATCAGAGGCTTACATAAAGGTTCAAAGTTGTGTCTACTGGATAATACTATTCTTGGATAAAATAGCAAAAAGCTACGTACCCTTTTTTCATAAAGAGTACTTTAATCACAAAATCAGCTCCCAATCTGATTTTGGTCTGAATGCAAGCAGTGACAAAAGCATAAGTCCAATCTCCTGCCCCCAACAGACAGCAAGCCTCCACTTGTACTTGAAATTTGGGAATAATGAAAGGGATCAATTTTGTTTTCATTTCAATTAAATCATGGTTTGTTGTCCTACAAACCTGGTTACTCCAACACCTCTAACCCTTTCTCTATAAATAGAGAAACATTTGCAAGCTGAAAAAAGACATTGGGTGGTGGAAAGAATTTTTAAAAAAATCATCAAACTCTCAAAAACTCTTAAACTCTTAAGATTCTCAAACACTAAATACAAACCCAGAATCTAAAGAAACACAACACTTGTTTCTTTTTCTATTTCGAATATGAAGCAATCCCCACACTTTGTTTTCTTTCGAATCCAGTAGAAAGAACACTACACCTGTTCTTCTCCTTCGAATCCAGAAATAACAAACACCACCCTCATACCTCCTGAACTTCGAATCCAGTCAAAGAAACACCACACCTGTTTCTTTCCTTCGAATCCAAGAGCATCTAGTCCAATCACTCAAGGTCAAACACAAGTTCTAAATTCAAGCAAGGTAAGTCACCCTGACCTTAAACTTTTCGTTTGAAGCATGTACATAACATTTGCTTCCTTTTCATTTCCACCTTTTCAACTTGTTTTCATTGCTAACCTTTTGGTTTTGTTACTTAGTTTATCAAACATTTTTTAAGAACTAACCTGACCATGAGACAATACTAGCATGGCCTCAAGATATGTTGCTATTTAAATCCCAAACGAAAGAAAACAGAATGAAGGAGGTGTAAATCGAAGCTTTAGGCTTCACCCCTGGTTGCTTTACAGTTGCAAGCAGGACAAAAAGTGTGGCCTTAGGCTTCGCCACACACTGACTTCCAGGCCATTCGAAGGAAGCATAAAGGCATAATCGAAAGACTTCCAGGCCATTCGAAGGAAGCAAAAAGGCATAATCGAAAGCTACCCACACACTGACTTCCAGGTCCCATTCGAAAGAAACAGAAAAGGGATGAAATCGAAAGGCATGCCCTTACTACTTCCAGGCCAAATTGAAAGAAGTCAGGAAGAGCATAATCGGAGGGTTCTGCTGCCCAAATCGAAGCACTCATTTTCCTTCTTTTATTTTTGTTTTGTCTTTATATTTTCTTGCTATTCAATATGACTGTAATAATGTAGGACATTTATCTTCTGCATTTTTATTGCTTTTGTACAAATGTTAGTAATTAGGATGTATGGCAAGATAAAATCAACAAGTAGACCATCCTAAACAAAGACTAAATGCATGCAAATCAAACACATTGTTTACACACATGCACCTTTAGGGTAATCCCATTTATTGCCTCGGAAAATAGTCATGTCCCTCGAATATGGGCATTTTAGCAAAGACCCTCGATAAAAGATCGTAGTCCCTCGATGAACCTCGATGTTGCCTTCGGTAAACGATCTAGTCCCTAAACGACATTGCTAAAACGTCTCATAGGTTGCCTTCTATGACTATACAAATATCCCACACCCGTCCCTTCACATCTAACGATGGGACTTCTTACCAAATCAATGGTAAGATAGCAACATCTAAAGGAGGAGGAAAAGAACGTTAGACCTTTTGAGTAGGTAGGACGCTCATAGTTTCTCGCTTGCTCACAACAAAAACATTTTACACACCAACACTTTCAAATTGAAACATTTTCAAAAGTCAAAGCTCTTTGTACGCATTCTTATAGAGACGAGAATCATTACAAAGACACTTTTTCAAAATCCCTTTCAAAAACACATCCCACAAACACCTCTTTGAACTATTTTCAAAACCAACACTTTGTACGCATTCTTATAGAAACGAGAATCATTACAAAGACGTTTTCAAAATACTTTCAAACCCACACCACAAAACACAATTTCAAACAAAAGCAAGTGATCTAGCAAGCAACTAAGAGCCCGTAGATAACTACGGATGAAAAGGGTGCTAACACCTTCCATTTTCATAACCTACCCCCCGAACTCAAGAAATAATCTCGAAAGGTTTTTCATATTCTTTTCACCCTTTCCTTATTGGATAAAAGAACAATGGGTGACGACTCTTGCTATCCGCAACAATTGCGATCAAACGCAAAACACCCAAGTCAGTTTTCTCACCGTATTACACTGTGACATAAATGATAATCAAATAAATAGAGAGACCAGCGATTCAACGCATATCCGAGCTAAAACCCTAGATTCGAGCAAATTTAAAAGCGATATACAAAGGATGAAATGACATAGCATAGAAATTGAAAGACAAAGGAAAATGGAAAGGAGAAATTGAAAACATACGGTTTGGAAATCATGAGGAGCGGCGCTGGAAAGGTAGAAAGAAATTCTTGGCTACAAAGACCGCGACGACACAACGAGGGTTGAGTGACTGCGATTTTGGAGTAACCGCGGGGTGAAACATATGACAGAGCAATTTCGCACGCGCTTGAAATGAAAACGATTGAGATCTTCTCCGTCTACCTTTAATCGGATCTACTAATTTCTGTTGTTACCAATTTCCCTTTTTAATTAGGGTTTCGCCAAAAATTGATCAAGGAAACCCTAAAATGTTGTATCTGATGGAATGTGATTTTGTTTTGTTTTTGTATATGCAACTTCAATTTATGAAGTGTTGTGTTTGTTTGTTCTTCATTTAGGGGTGTTATTGCTAGATAAGAGGAGTGGAAGAATCTATAAAGAGACAATGCAAAATGACTACAACAACAATATTGAAATGCAGAGAGCTTATAGTTTTGATAGCTATTATTAAAAATTTAGAATACATAGAGTTGAAATAGTATTGAAAAAAATGAAAAGAGTGTATCGTTTCTATAACTATCTCTTTTTTTTTTTATAGTGAATGATATAATTAAAGGGCATGTAATAATTAAAAAGATTTTAATGTGATGCATGTAAATATAAATAATATATTATTTGAATAATTTTAAAAATAATAATTAGTAGTTATAACTACTTATATCTCCTTATAAATTTATGATTAATCTGAATTTAGTTGGCTAATGACATTATATAAATAGTCATTAATTTTATTATATTAAAAATAGAAATTGTACTAATTGTTGGTAAAAACTGTTTTAAAAAAAAATAAAAACAGAATTAAAAAAAATAGTTGCGATGAAATGAAACCCTGATTGTGCATCGACGGAGATTTCACGCTACACGCAGAAGGTTTAATAATAAACAACAACAGAAGAACACCGATATATAAATAAAATTGAAATAAAAATTTAAAAGCCTAGTGAGTCTGCGTAAACAGTGTTGTGGTCGATTGAAGCAAAGAGAAAACGCCGTGGCTGAAGAAATACCCCATTCTCTCAGCCATCACACACTTTCTCTCTGCATTCTCTTTGCCCTAATCTTCTCACACAGATCTATCTTCCCTATTTCACTGTAAGATTTTTCCATTTCATCTTTATTAATCTTTTACCGTTTTCAATTTCACTTGTTTCCGCTTTCAGAATTCGTTAGGTTAATTTTCATTCGTTTAATTCAACTTTGATCGATTTGTATATAATAATGTCGATTATTAATCCGGTGAAATCTTAGGTTAACCTTTTATTGTTAACGCTAATTAATTTATGTGTGTTGATTGTAGTTAGGGTGTAGCAAGATTCTACTGTATTTGGAAAGTTGTCAGAATGTTCGGTTCAACAAATCGTAAGTTTTCTATCCTTCTCTATTTTACTATCGTTGATTTTATTGAATCATTTGCACCTTTACAATTTTTTTGGAGTGATTATTTATTGGATGATGGTTTTTGTTTGTTATTATTTATCATGCTATGTATGTTGTTGTTGTTGTTATTATTTAAGTATAGTAATAGTATATAGTGAATAAACTTTGTTTACTGATTACTTCAATTACTTCAATAAAGTATTGATTAATATATGGGCTTTTTTAAACAGCTTTTGGGCAGTCGTCCAGCCCGTTTGGGTCCTCGCAGTCGGTGTTTGGGCAGCAGACGAATAATTCGAGTAACAATCCTTTTGCTCCGAAGCCGTTCGGAAGCCCAACAACTCCATTTGGATCGCAATCACCTGCTTTTGGGGGTACTTCCACGGGAGTATTTGGCGCGGCGCAAACGTCTCCTTTCTCTTCGAATACTACTTTCGGTGCTTCGTCGTCGCCGGCTTTCGGGAGTTCAGTGCCTGCATTTGGGGCGTCTTCGTCTCCTGCTTTTGGTAATTCTTTTTCGGCATTTGGCGGTAGGCGTATCTATGGAATCAATGTTGATATTTTTCCATTTATGAATTGTGTTGCACTATGTAGACTAGACTGTCTTCATTGCACTGTTAAATAGTTGGTATAACGTTGCTATACCGCAATATCGTAGCAGAGTTTAGACAAACCGATATTGTTCGGCGATATGTTATAGCGGTGCTATTGCATTGCGGAATTTTTAGAATTTGCTATTTTTTTTCGCTATCCGCAATTGACGGCACCACTTCTTTGGAGCCTTTGAAACCAGTTTATTGGTAGTGTCATGCGATATGTGAGAAGCACAATGTTTTAAAGAAGTGAAATACCAATTTTCATACACCGGATTTTTGTAGTGCTCAGCTAATGCTTTTAGGAATGTTAATTTTTATGGCTGATATTATCATGTTTTCTTTCCTTTCTAATGGAAATTTCATTTCATACGAATTTGTATGTCTGTATCTATGTGAGCTATAATTTGTTTATAGATTTCTTTCTCCCTTCCGCCACCTCTACAGTCCACCCCGTAAGTTGTTCTCGTTTACATGTCTGTAAATTGATATCATGGGAACCACAGATTCATACAATATCCCATCTCGTGTGATAGACTTAAGAGCAAGAACACTACGAAGGAATGCGATTTCTCAAGTCCTAAAGATTACATAATGACTGAAATTTGTATTATCTAGTTAATGCCATCCTTTCTTTTATTAATATCGATTAATATCTAATAATGGTAATCATTAGCATCTTTTGGCTTACTTTTCTGCCATTTTTATTGTATTGTTTTTGTTAAATTTGCGGTTTTGTAATTCTATCTGAAAACCAACTCTCTTCCTAGGATCATCAGCCTTTGGTCAGAAGCCTGCTTTTGGAGGTTTTGGCTCTACTACTACTCCAAGTCCATTTGGAAGTGCTACCCAACCATCACAACCAGCATTTGGAAGTAACACCCAACAATCACAACCAGCATTTGGAACTAACACCCAACAATCACAACCAGCATTTGGAAGCAGCATATTTGGTTCCTCAACACCTTTTGGTGCATCATCCCAGCCAGCATTTGGTTCAACAGGCACTTCCGCATTTGGTGCGCCTAGCACTCCTGCATTTGGTGCGACCAGCACCCCTGCTTTTGGTGCGACCAGCACCCAGGCTTTTGGTGCGACCAGCACCCCGGCATTTGGTTCAACATCAACCTCAGCTTTTGGTAACACAGGGGGTGCATTTGGCATGTCAAGTACTCCTGTGTTTGGAGGTGGGGGAGCCTTCGGGGCTTCAAGTAGTCCTGTATTTGGCTCATCAAGCACATCTGCATTTGGAGCTTCCAGCTCTCCTGCTTTTGGTGCTTCTAGTAGCCCAGCTTTTAGTTTTGGCTCGTCCACTCCGGCTTTTGGTCAGTCTAGTTCTGCATTTGGTTCCAACAGTCCATTTGGCAGTACAACCTCAGCCTTTGGAGGTCAGAGTTCTGCATTTGGTGAATTCAATAGTTTTTAATTTTTTCTTTGTGATATATCTATCTTTACAATGCAAGGGACTCGAATAATTACATTTTTTTCCATATCTTATGTCGTTGTTATTGAGAGTGATTTTATCATACTTTTTTATGCAGGATCACAGACTCCCACTCCAGCATTTGGAAGTACTGGTATGGGGCAGTCAGGATTTGGAGGTCAACGAGGTGGAAGTAGAGTAGCTAGTTACTCAGCTACAACTGAAACAGATAGTGGTAACACACCACCTGGAAGATTGGAGTCCATATCAGCCATGTCTGTTTACAAAGATAAAAGCCATGAGGAGCTAAGATGGGAGGACTATCAATTGGGAGATAAAGGTACTTTTAAAAAAATAAAATAGAAATAGTTTGATGATTCTTCAAGTTTTCATTGGTGTTGACTGATTGTCTTAACTTATTTCAAATTCAGGTGGACCACTTGCCTCTGCTCCACAGCCAACTGGTATGGCTGGCTTTAATTCATCTACGACAACAAATGCCTTTTCTCCATCACCTGTATTTGGTCAATCATCAGCCAATCCTTTCTCTAGCACAACACCTAATTCTAACCCATTTGCACCGAAGACTTCAACATTTTCTTCTGGATTTGGAACTTCAGCTCCTGCTTTCAGTTCATCGGCTTTTGGTTCTTCAACGTCAGCAGCTGCACCATCCATTTTTGGCTCATCCACATCTCCGTTTGGTGCCAACTCTTCGTCGCAAGCATTTGGGTCATCCTCATCCCTGTTTAATACTGCAGCTCAGAGTACATCTTCACCATTTGGCTCAAGCATTTTTGGCAACACCCAGCCATCTCAATTATTTAGCTCTGCAGCCCCTTCAAATTCACAGTCTAGTTCTGTTTTCGGTCAGAATACCTCTCCCTTTGGGCAGCCTGGCGGGTTTAGTCAATCAAGCTTGTTCAGCTCACCTTCGTCTGGGCTTGTTGGAAGCATTTTCTCAAACAGCGCACCACTCACGTCGAATGCTATGACAGGTTTTGGTCAAACAGCGGTGAGTAGATTTGATAATGCTTTTCACTTTTAACATTGTTTTTGGGTAAAGATCATGGTTTTTTATGATCCAAAGATAAGATGGAGTCAGTATTTGAGATTTACTTTACTAACCTGTTGAGTTTTTTTGCAAAACTAGTTGTCGCTGTTCTATAGGAATTACATATAAATAATAAACATTACTACTACCAACACCACTACCACGAAGCCCTATCCTGACAGGAAGGGTTGTCCACACAGATAAATAGTTTTCAGTAAAATAAAAACCATCCATATACTAGTGGTTAAATATATAACAAGCCGCTAGGAACAAAATAAATGAAAGTTGTCTGTATGGAATATGATTACACCATTTGAACATGTTTAAACATTAAAAGAAGTGCTATTTACAACCTAGTGAGCATCTTATGGAAACCCGGCATTGTTTGTGCTTTCTAATAGTTGATTTACTTCTATGTAAATATTTATAGCATCTTTGTATGTTACTTTGATCAATACTCTGTCCATTTTAAGGTTCCTTTGTTTTCTGCATGTATCATACATTTTTCCACCCCAACTCCAGTTTGCACTAGATTTCATTTTCTATCATGTTCTTTGACTGTTTATCTGCAGCCGTCAATGTCAACACCATTCCAATCTGCGCAACCTGCTCAGTCAAGTGGTGCCTTTTCCTTTAGCAACTTTGGCCAGACGCAACCTGGTTAGTTCAATATTTTTGCTATGGGTGCACTGTTTTTTTTATTTCATGCAATGGTTGAAGGATTAATTTTTTAAATTGTTTGCTTTATTTTGCTGTCTTAAATATAGCTGGTGCAAGTAGCTTTGGTGGAACTTCAGGCATGTTTTGTCAGAATAATTTTGGACTTCAGTAAGTTACAAGTTACAATTGTTTTATTTGTTGGTTTCATTTCAAGCATATGTATACCTTTTTCGGGCTGACCAAGGGAAGATGAATTTTCTCGTATTTTATCTCTTTTTTTTTTTGAACATAATGTCACTTTTTGAGTTAAGGACAATTTTCCCAATTAAAAGGTTTTTTTTTTTTGGCTTGACAGGGCTATTCCCCAGAATTCTGTGGTTGCACAAGCAGCACCCGTTACAAATCCGTTTGGAACACTTCCTGCTTTACCTCAGATGTCAATTGGCCGAGTTGGAACTACTCCTTCTGTTCAATACGGAATCTCTAGCATGCCGGTAAATGATGTTGACTTTATATGCTGGTTTTATACTTTAACTTGAGTTCATCCATATTTGATTTATCTTTTCAATGCAAACTATGATCAACCTTTGTGGGGGGTTTTTCATTTTATGAACGCAAATAAGTTTCATACTGATTTCTTTTCAGGCCCAAGACAAACCGGCTACCGTAAGAATATCCTCCTTATTGACTTCTCGCCACCTCTCGCAAAGACGAATCAAGTTTCCTTTAAGGAAATATAAGAATGAGGGAACAAAGGTGAGTAACTGTAATTTTGTCAGTTATGATCAGGGTTTCTGTAAAAACAAGGCCTGTAGTATGTCTTAATTACACGGTTCTCTTGCAGGTTCCATTCTTTACTGATGATGAGGACACTCCAACCACACCAAAGGCTGATGCCCTTTTCATTCCTAGGGAAAATCCAAGGGCATTGATCATTTGTCCCATGGAGCAGTGGCCTGGAAAGGCTTCTGAGAAAGCATCTACTTTTAAGGATAGATACGCCTCAGTGAATGGGAATGGTAATATCTTTTGATTGATCATATTCAATGTTTTTCTATACTTGAGTTTTGAAATGAAGTATTACGTTCGTTACATTTGACATACATCATGGCATCCCAACATTGATGACAGTAGGAAATATGAAAACTAAGTGTTTTTTTTTTTTTGGTAAGATACTCAAATTATGTATAATAATCTCAACAATAAAACTTCAATAATATTGATGACAATAAGGAAAAATGGAAACTAAGTGTGTCTGGTAAGGGACCAATATGTATATGTTTAATGATAGAATAATGATGTGATGAGATATTATTAAGATATTATCACAACTATGATTGGGAGAATCTATGTTGCCAATCGTGCCGCTTTGGCGATCTCGGAATCTCAGAGCAGGTGTCCGCTGCGCTACATTCAGCCTGCAAGCCGTGTTCAATAGGTGCAGCAGCTGCGAATCAAATCCAAATCTCGGCTCCCTGGCATCTGCTTTCAGACTTGATGGTCAAATTAAATTAACTTAGTTGACCTATTTTTTTATTCTTTTTCTCAAGCATGTGCGACTCATAATCTGGATCTCTTTCTGCGCTGTGAGGAGGGTCGATTCTTCTCCTTCTACGAAAACCTCCGCTTTTCTCTTTTTCTTCTGCTTCTTCTGTGTGCGAAGCCATCTGTTTCTCCTGCTTTTCGATCTTCTGCATTTGAATCCTTCTATTCCTCTAGCAGTTTTGTTTTCTAGGGCATCTAAACATCACTTATAACCCTCAACCAAATGAAAACAAAACCCTCTACATTTTAGTATTTTGCTGTATTTGACTTGTGCTCTGTTTTGCCATACTTATTTTTCAATTTGCTGTTTTTAGATATTAGCAAGAGTGCCTTACGTTTGCACAAACATTTGAAATTTTACGTTTTTATATAGCTACTCATATTTTGAATGTAATATTCAGGGATAAGCTCAAGAGAAACAGTTACCGCACCCAATGATAGGACCAGCTCAGAGGATAAAGAGAGTACGTGCTTCTCATACTATTAATATTTATTCATGAAAGATAGCTCTAGCTTATTGACATTTTAACAAATTTTGAACTATTTTACTGAACTTTGGTGGCTGTGCTTCATTTGTTGCAATTACATCTCAGTTTTGGGGATAATATTGAGTCTTATATTAACAAAAGAAAAATGTTCTAAAATACGCGTCACACTATGTTTTCAGTGTAATATTAATTATTTTATTTAAATTATATCCCTAAATTAACTATGTGTCACTTCTAAGTTCATATTACTTATGCATTTATCACAATGATTAACACACAATGGCTAATAATGATAATTTGTACAATTGTTACACTTTTTCATTTCTGTAAAGCTTTTCTTAATGAGTATGAAATAATCTAAAGTGACACTCAATATGAGACAAAGGAAAATATTAATTGAACTAGTTTTAAGATGGATCATTGAATTGTTCCTTGATCTGTCCCATGTTTGTGCTTTTATTCCCGTGTCATAACTTCTGTATTATTTACAGAGACGGCTGCTGAAAATGGTGTTGTCAAGGAGCAAGTTCAGCAGCCTATTCCTACAAAGCATGTATCCAATGGGAGTAACGAAGACCAGTCTCCGCAAAAGGCGGATATGTACAAGACACTCGGTGGGCACAGAGCTGGTGAGGCTGCCATTGTGTATGAACATGGAGCTGATGTTGAGGCACTAATGCCAAAGCTACGGAGATCTGATTACTTCACACTGCCTCGTATACATGAACTGGCGGCCAAGGAAAGAGCTGAACCAGGATTCTGCAGTCATGTCAGGGAGTTTGTGGTTGGAAGGCAAGGTTATGGCAGCATCAGATTTTTGGGCGTGACAGATGTACGAGGGCTTGATCTTGAGTCCATTGTTCAATTTAATAATCGTGAGGTGATTGTATACATGGATGATTCAAAGAAACCTCCTGTTGGACAGGGGCTGAATAAGCCTGCTGAGGTAACACTCCTCAACATCAAATGTTTTGATAAAAAAACTGGACATCAGTATACTGAAGGGCCAAGAGTTGAGAAATATAAAGAGATGCTCAAGAGAAAGGCTGAGGACCAAGGTGCCGAGTTTGTATCATATGATCCCAATAAGGGAGAGTGGAAGTTCAGGGTCAACCACTTCAGTGTTTACAAGCTGGTAGATGATGACAGTTGGATACAAGTTGATGCATAAAGGTATGTCCCATATAATATGGGAAAAGGGCAACAATACATTTTATAGTTTGGGATCTAAAGTATTGCTCGAAGTGTACTTGTTTTTCATTGTAAATTGTTTCTGTATTTTAAGGATATAGCCGGGGCCAACCTTGTTGATACGTCCTTTTTGTCTGGGATATGTTTTTATAGATTTTACAGTCTGTGATGTTGAAACTGTGTCTATTACCATTTTGCTTTTATGGCTTAAATGGTGAAATTTAGGGCGAGGGATCAAAATTGCTGTCCCATACCGGAGGCATCAGAATTTCATTTGCAATAAAATGTTTATGAAACAGTGTGAATTTTGAGTTTGCCAAGTTCCAATGCTCGTTTGAGTTTTCTCACCATGTTTGTGTGTTAATAGGTAATTAAGCCCATTGATCCTACTGGGTGATTTTTAATGACGGTGACAATCACTTGCATCCCCCATCCCAACACTGTTCCTTCATAATGCTTTGATGTTTTCCCTTTAACATCATAGTCTACGCCATAATTGTTTCCCTTGGGAATCATCGCCACCTTTAAGATGTTCAACCTTTGTAGTAAAATAAATTCAATCTTCTTTTCCTAGGTAAATAGTTAGAGCTGGCTAATCTCGAGATACTTTGATTCTATGAACAACTGGTTGACATACTGAAACGATAAGTTTGAAGCATATTGATTGGTGTTTGGGAATGCTTATTAAGGAAATGGATTCCCTGCGGTTAAATAGTGACACTGCAGGCCCTTAAAATTTAATCCACTGGCCTACAAGTTGTGACTATGTGACTGTAGGATTGCCCTGACCGGAGGGAATCCAGTCCCGCTTATTAATGTCTCCACGGTGACATACTCAAGTAGTCACCAATGTTATAATATGCGGTGACATACTCAAGTAGTCACCTTCCCCAACCTTTTAACTCCTACAACAACCTGCAACTAGTGCTTTCTTATCACTTCCTAAAGACCCAGCCCATATAAACCTTGAATAATTTGCCTCTAAAATATATATGAAATATTATGTTATACAAATGAAATACATATAACTAAAAATTGCTGAACAAACTTAAAATTTCTGGTATGAGTACCTTTTTAAAAATAACCATAGTAGTGTGTACCTTAAAGTCTTATTAGAAAACAATTATTATGAAAAAAAAATATTTTCCAATGAGTATGGGTATCTGCGACACTCATACACAGACATTTATTTCAACGGATTAAAAAATAAGAAAATTTTAAATTAATTTTAATTCCGTAGTACACCTCTTAATATGTCTTTGAAATAATAAATATTTTTTTAAATGTTTTATTATTAAAATTAATTTGATAATATATGATTAAATATATGAATCAATAATAAATAGTTATAATAAATATCAAAAAAGTTAAATTCTTTTTAAAAATATCAAATTTTAGAAATTAATTTGAAAATGTTCAACGAAATTAGAGATTATTTTATCAGTTTATTTTTCGACTCAATGTATATTATGGCTTATTAAAAAAGATGCGTTTTATTTCTTTACTTTTTTTTCTTAATGTATTTTAGTTTAAGAGAATCTAATAGTGCTAGTCTACTAGTGGCTACCTAACTCAAAGAAGTCCTATTTAAAAAATGTATAACGAATGTCTCCCCTTTTCTAAAATAAATAATAATAATATTCCCCTAACCTCTATTAAAAATGAAGAAAGATAAAACTTCACACTCATGGAAAGCCAATATTCTGGTTAGGTGTCTCGATAAAATAATAATCTGGTTAGGTTAATAGAATATAACATATTTAAACTAACAATTGTTGATGTTAAAGAAAAGCCATGTTATGAAATTTAAGCTTAAATATAGTTTTATTTTTCTATTTTATTTTAATTTTAAATTCAAATAATTTTAGAATATAAGGAGGTCCTTGGATGTTGATTGAAGACTTTAACTACATCATTCATCTTGAGTGAATAAAAAAGATGTAATTTTAATCATTTTAGGGCAAATGTTTTATTGAATGTCATTGATAAGTGTAATTTAGTTGAAGTAGACACGACTGATTGAAAATTCACTTGGAATATGTCCTGTACTAGTAATCGGATAGTCTATCGTGAGTTGGACAGGGCTTTGGTTGACGTATGACTTTTTCGGATGCATATGTTGACGTGTTGTGTAAATTTTATTATGATCACAACCCCATTCTCCATAGGTGTGGCTTTCCCCTCCAAGGCCACATGCCATGTCCTTTTAGATTTGAGGCATCTTGGATCACTCACCCGAAATACTCTAATATAGTACGAATTATTTGGGGGAAATCTCCACATGATATTGCAACTTGTCTCTAAAATGTGCAGTATGATTCTACCATTTTTAATAAGAAAACTTTTGGCAATATTCGCAAACAAAAGTACAACATTGAGAAGAGACTTATGGTATCCAACACTCTTTAGAGATAATAGATTCGATAAGACTAGTTTATCTTTAAAATAAACTTCAACAATAGTATGATGAGATCCTTGTGGAAGAAGAGAATTATTGGTATCAAAAGGCTAGAGATGATTAAATTAAATTGGGAGAATGTAACACCAAAAAATTTCATACCAAGACGGTAGCCAGGCGGAAGAGAAATAAAGTTCATGTCCTTCATTTTCCCAATGATGTTTGGTGTAATGATAAGCACTTAATTTTTTTGAAGGTCTTTTTTGCCCTACGTCTCATATCTTCGCCACTAGCATGAATGAATCAACTATGGCTCTGATCCTTATTGAGGAATTTAAACACTCTTTGACTCAACATGTGACAAGGGAAGAAGTTATTTATGCATTGAGTCAAACACACCGTTTTAAGGCGCATGACACTGATAAATTTTTCCAGGGTATTTTATTTTAATAGTTTTGACATATAATTGGAGATGGCGTTATCAGATGCTTTTGTGACAGATAGCTTTCATTCTTCTCTTTCTGAGACTCTTATCACATTAATTCTTAAGGTAGACTGCTCCCAAATTTTAAAAGAATTTAGGCCCATTAACTTGTGCAACACGATCTACAAGCTTATTACGAAAATTATGGTTAACAGAATGCACCCTTATCTAAATCAAATAGTTGGAACCTTCTAGAGTAGTTTTTTTGTCTGGTAAAGGAACAATTGATAATGTCATTATCCTCCAAGAAGTAATTCATTCTACGCGTAAGTCTAAAAAGAAAAAAAGTTTGACATTGTATTCAAAATAGATCTTGAAAAGACCTATGATCATGTTAATTGGGAATTCTTGAAATTTTATTTGAAACGAAACGGGTTTCCTCCCATTACTATAAAATTGATCATGCATTGTGTAACTAGCTCCTCTGTGTATATTCTTTAGAATGAGATACGACAACCGAATTTTATTCTGACTTGAGGATTGTAATAAGGTGACCCATTTTCCATCCTATATATTTGTTATATGCATGAAATTATTGTTATAGACAATCATCAGGGAACTCGACAAAGGCCATTGAAAACCTATCAAGTTATCTTGTAAAGGACTCCCTCTATCACATTTAATTTTTGCTGACAATGTTCTTCTTTTTGTGAAAGTTTCTAATTCCCAAGTATGGATTATTTGTGGTATCTTAAATCATTTTGACATGTTTTCTGGACTTAAAGTGATTTTTTCTAAATTAAAGATGTTATTTCCTGCTACCACTAAGTGGAGTAAAATGGATTTAATTATCTACATTACAAATATCAAGTGAACTCTTACTCTAGAGAAATAATTAGGTTTCCTTATGTTGCATGATCGTCTTCAATGCAAGGACTTTGGGTTCCTAGAGAAGAAAATCAGTCAGATGTTAGCATTTTGGCAACATAAATTGTTAAACAAGGATATTCATTTGACTCTAATTATGTTTGTCCTAAAATACATCCCAAATTGTTATATGCAAGTGGCTTGGCTACCGCAACAAACTTGTGATTTTTTTATAGGATGGCTTAGAATTTTTTGTGGAAATGTGATTCAAACTCTGGTGTGCATCTCGTTGGCTGGAATAAAATCACAAAGTTCAAAAAACTGGAGGATCTTGGGATTCAAAAAGCAAAAGAGGTCAATATTTCTATGTTGGGTAAGCTAGTTTGTAGTCTCCATCGAGATTGTGATTTCATGTGTATCCATGTTTTGAAGCATAAGTATATCACTAAGGAAAAATTCCTTAATATGAAAAAGAAAACATGATTAATTACTTAGAATGCAATTATGAAAGCTCTCTATGTTCTTAAATCGGGGGATGAAAACTCCTCTTTCTAGTTTTTCAATTTGTCTAAGGTAGCGGAATAAGAGGAGTAAGCTCTCTATGTGTATATCCATGACATGGAAATGCAAGTTAATGATGTTTACTCGGATGACAATTGGAAATTGAATTTAGCATCTATTAATATTTCAGCGGTTGTTTGTAACCGCCTAAAAGTGCTTTCTATTTGTTTGAATTTTCTAGTGCCTAATCAGTTAATTTGGAAAATGTTGTGACGCAAAAAATATCTGAGCAGATAGAACACTCGAAATCAACAAAAGTCACCGCTGGCGTTTATTTTTTGAAAGGGAAAACATTGATAAAACTCTAAAAGAACAAAAATATGGTCATCGAAACCAAATTCAAGTTCAACAGTCAATTATGTGCGAGGAAGGTATTAACGCCCACACATATGTTGTACTCAATATGAACCATTTAGTTAGTTTTGCAAATAAGAGTGTTATCTTAATGTATTTGATTTCTTCTAATTATTGTTGGATATTTACAAGAGGGAGAAAATATGTTTTTTTTATTAATGTGCTTGATGAAATGTTTAATCTCGCTCCTACGTATCCCCAGGTGCGATGTAGAACTCAAAACCACGTAGTTCTTAGTAGAAAATGTTTGTTTGTTGGTTGATTTTAGTGAACAATGTTTATATTACATTCAAGTGGTTAAGCGTTGCTTGCATGTCGCACATGGACAGAATGAAACATTTGCTTGTTTGTTGCATTGGAATGGATAAAACATCGT